TTTATGTACTGAAAGGCCACTACCATATCATCTTGGAGCCTTCTCTGCTCTAGGCTGAACAGCCCCAGTTCTCTCAGTCCATCCTCTCATGAGAAGTGCTCCATCCACTGGATCATTTGTGTGATCCCCCTCTGGATGCACTCCAACAGGTCTATGTTTCTCCTGTAGTGAGGGTTACACATCTCCACAGTACTCCATAGGTGAAGTCCTCACTATAGGAGAGACATAGACCTATGATTCACTCCTTACATCACTTGCAGTATGTGGTCTGTCATTAATAAATTTGTACTTAGAAGCTGTCAGTATTATTCTCAAAATTAATTTCTGCTAGTTTTCTCTACCTTGTTGAAGATTGACCTGTAAATGCTCCATGATAGCTATCATCACAAAGTAATAAAATCAGTCTTGGATCTCAACAAGTGGATTTTTCTGCTCACAAAAAAATAGAAAATAACTTGATTACTTTAAAGTTGATAGAAAGAAATTTGGTCAGCAGTTGCAGAAAGAGAATGAAAGTTACATCTCTTGGGTGTTGGTCCTTCTCTATTGACATTACTATGCTTAAAATGCTCTGCTTCATCTCCTCCAGCTCTACGTTAAATGCTCCCTATGCACAGAATTTGAAGAAAGTCCAGTGTCTAAAACTGATTAGCCAGCTGCACAAAAACATTGATCATAGGTTTTATCCTGTGGCAGTCAGAATGTAATAGAAGATCAGGAGAAAACCAGGGTTACACAGCCAGACATGCAGAGTGCCAGTACCCGGGCTCAGAGAGCCCAGATCTGCTCTGGGGCCAGATTCCTAACCTGGGGTAGATTTTCCTGCACCTCTCTATGAGCTTTCTCTTAGAACATGAGAAGCTCAGAATTTTTATTCCAGGGTTGAATCAGGAAGAAAGTAGAAGCCCCCTCACTTGGCTGCATGCTCTGGGTGCTTGTGTGTGAAGGGAACATCATGAGCTTGTGTGTTAGGCAAATGGCTCCCTGTTGGACTGACTGGCATGAATGGTAAGAAGGATTCAAGCAGGACGTTCCTGGGGATTTAGACTTTCAATCACTTGTCTTTTCAGGATGTGTAATTGTAGGCATATCCAAAAGCTCAAGCTGGAATTTCAAGGTTGTAGAGAATCACAGAATTTTTTGAGTTGGAAGGGACCCTTAAAAGCCATCCAGTCCAACTTCCCTGCAATGAACAGGGATACCACAGCTAGATCAGTTTGCTCAGAGCTATTGCAACAGACTCTGCTCAAGAGTCTGCCCCCTTCTTTCTTACAGCCCCCCCTTAGATACTGAAAAGCAGCTTCAGGTCTCCTCAGGACCTTCTCATCTCCGGGCTGAACAGCCTCAGCTCTCTCAGCTTGTCCTCATAGGAGAGTTGTTTCATCCCTTTGTTCAATTTGTGGCCCTCCTCTGAACATGCTCCACCAAGTCTGTGTCTCTCCTGCACTGAGAACTCTACATCTGGCTGCAGTACTCCAGGTGAGACCTCACCAGCGCAGAGTAGAGGGGCAGGATCACCTCCCTCAACCTAATGGCTGTGTTTCTTTTGATGCAGACCAGGATATGGTTGGCTTTCTGGGCTGTGAGGGCAACTTGCTGGCTCATGTTCAGCTTGCCATCCATCATCACCCCTTGGTCCTTTTCTGCAGGGCTGTGCTCTACCCATACATCTCCCAACCTATACTGATGGTACTTGTACAGCCATCACCCAGGTGCAAGACCTTACAGTTGTATATGTGGCCGAATAAAAGGCAGAAAGGCAGTTGAAAGGCTTAAATTTGGAACCTGAGTACCCACTGCAGAATTTAGCCCTAAATATCTCTTTTCACAAGATCACTCTTTGTTCAGTTACAAAGTTTCCTGCTTTCTTGCTCCTATTGATCTGAGTGATAATGTGCCACATATGAAATATGAGTGACTATAAAATTTTCTTCAGGTAAATAGTGAACATTTGAGATTTAGCGTTTCTGTTTTCTTACACTGGTTTAATAAAATTAAAAAAAAAAAAAAAAAAAAAAAAAAGAAGCAAGATCTATAACTAGAAAACCATGCAAAACTAATAACTTGCTGTTTAGAAAGCCAGTTTGCCTTATTTCAGGCCTCCATTGTTCTATGTGAGTAAATAATCAGAAATTAATAAAAAGCTAACTCATTCCTAGCAGAGACTAAATGTGGATCTAAACAGGAAACCTAAAACAAAGTGTTGTCATGGTGATATGCAGGAGACTAAGCAAGCAGTACAAAGCTCCTCTTCTGAGGAAACCTGAGAGACGAGCTTGCATTTCTGTCTGTCATGGTTAATTTATCATTTCACCAAAACAGTTGTCAACATACAAATTATATTGAAGGCTTATAACAGGTGTCTTGTTTTTAATGGGCACAACAGATTTTGATTCTAAATCACAATTTCAGATTTAGCCTTACTTAATCTTTTTGAGGAGCTTTTGCTATTTTTACATTTTACTATTTAAAAGGGCAATTAAATATTGAGATTACTTCCTCTTCAGTATGTCATCATGAGGCCACATACTGTAATGAGTTTCACATACTGATTTCTCTGAAAAGGGAATGAAGAAAAGTAGGACCCTTGCAAAATTTATGCATGCACACTTTAGATTTAGATAGATTTAAAAGCTGGCGGTCACATAACAAAAATGGGTTATGTGCCATGTCACTCTTGGTGTTATTGCTTGTATGGAAGGGAAAATAGGAACTAAACATCAACAAATGATTTAATACGTGTCAGTTAGTTAATTATTGGTTTTAAAGTAATTAAAGCCTTAAAATTCTGTCTTCAGCACTTCATGTAATCACTTTGCTATTAAAGAAGGACAACACATTTGATCTGAGTGGGTTTCTGTTTTATTTATTTTTAGATTTTTGCTCTGAAATAGGTGTCTATGGCCACCAACTGGTATACTTTAAAGTTCCAATTACTTAAGTTAATTTTCCATTTCAGTCCATCTGAGAAAATATGCCAAATGCCTATCTAAGTGGAACATCTAGTAATTACACCCACATCTCCTGAGAATCATTGAGAAAAGTTCATAAAAATAGCCATGAATTCTTTCTTTTCAGTTCACTGGGGGTACAGAAAAGTCCATCTGCTTAAACAAACGAATCACACCATCGTGGGTTGTGGCTTCCTGTTAAACTCTGACAGATTTTGCATGTTGCAGGGTTAGAAGTAAAGACATCATTGCTGTGATATAAATTGAGATGCCATAAGTATTTCAGTACCATAGTATGAACCTAGTGTGCTTACCTGTATAGCCTAAAAAAACCACGGTAATGAAAGCAAAGTATGGACACTCCTTGCTGTCTTAAACCAGTAGGATGAAGTGTGATGCATCAAGCCTAGGCATGTGAAGCACCTTATGGGAAGTAAAGTGAAGAAATAGAATCTAGGAACCTTGCTTTGTGAGAGACCCTCCACCTCTCTGTAATTATCTTCATACAAGATCTTTGTGGACATCAGGCTGACATCATGGAATGTGAGCGGTGAGTAAAATTAGGAAGATCTTTAGGTATTTCCGTCTTCACTTCAGAAACACTGGTGCTATGCAAATGTTATAAGGAAAGGATCCACAGTCAGACTACTAGGTACTCTGACAGGCTGGACTGCAGACAGTGAAGTGGATTGAAAACTGACTAGGCACAGGGGTCAATTGGTGCGAAGTCTAGTGAGAGACCAGTAACTAGTAGCATACCACAGGGGTCAATACTGGGTCCAGTCCTGTTTGACATCTTTTCTGAGGATAAAAGTGAAGGGGACAGAGTGTTTCCACAGCAAGTTTGCAGATGATAAAAAACTAGGAGTGACTGATATGTCAGAAGGTTGTGCTTCCATCCAGAGAGAGCAGGAGAGGCTGGATAAATGTGTTGACAGCAAACTGGAGGAACAAGTCTGGGGACTGGTACAAGCTGGGGGCCACCTTGTGTGAAAACATCTAAAGAAAAAAGAATTTGGAGGTACTGATGGGCACCAGGCTGAACACGATGTAGCAATGCGCCCTTGCAGCAAAGATAGCTAATTGTTTTCTTGACTGTATTACACAAATTACTGTCAAGCGGTGGGGCAAAGTGATCTTTCCTTTCTACTCAGTGAAACTGTTCCAGTTCTAGGATCAAAAGTACAAGAGATATATTGGAGCATCCACTGCAAAGAGCCAGGGAAATGACGAAGGGTCTCTGGAGTATCCCTCCTGTGAGGAAAGGCTGGGACTGTTCAGCCTGGAGGACATGAGGCTTAGCGGAACCAGCAATATGTATAAATACCTGATAGGGAAGGTGCAAAGAGGACAGAGCCAGACTCTTCTCAGTGGTGTCCAGAGACAGGACAAGAGGCAATTGGCTCGAAATGGAATGCAGGACACTCTGAACTTTAGAAAGTTTACTGTGCAGGTAACGGAGCCCTGGCACAGGCTGCCCAGGGAGGCTGTGCTTCCTGGAGATCTTCAGAAGACACTTAGGCATAGTCCTGGGCACTCTGCTTGGGTAGGGGTTGGGTTAGGTTACCTGAGGCCCATTCCAACCTCAACCACACTGGGATTCTATGAGGTGACTACATTGCTATGTATATTATTTCATTATGTGTCTGCATTGATAGAAATAGAATTTATTTGTCGCTGGCTTTTTTTTAAATATATATTTGATTTTATTTCTTAGAGAAAATGATTCTGGTTTTATTAACTTTAACTTCCTACCTTTTTTTTTTCTCTACTGAGTCTTCATTAGTTTTAAAGTTCATGAATTATTAAATGCATCCGTGAAAGAAATATAATTAAAAGGTGTTATTGTGTTTATGCTAGTGACAGCCTGAATTAACAGCAACCTTTCTGTTTTATTTTGAAAGTTATATGAATGCCTAGGGAAAACAATCATTACCTATTAATATCTCAGGAAAACAAAATTAACATTTTTGTCAAAAGGAAGTTTTACACACACAGTCAGGTTCCCCCTACAATGTATCATTTAATGGGAAGAAGATGTATATTTACCCCTTTTATGTAGGAGAATACTGGCGTGCCGGCGTCCGTTTCCATTCTCAACATAGCATGAGTAATTGCCGAGGTCTCCTTCCTCCACAGAATTGAGAATCAATGAGATAGAAACTTCCTGTTCCCCAAGATGTTCCTTGAGAACCCTAATAAAAAAAAATCATGTGTGCTCTTCTGCTTGTGTCACAGTATAGGAATAGATAACAATGACATAATAGTACTACTTACAATTCTCAGCTCTCAGGCTTCAAATTTAGCTATGGTTTTATGAAATCCTAATTAAATTATATCATGCCTTTTTCTCATTCACTTCTAATGAAGAGGTTTAGTTTTGTAGATATTAATGAGAGTTTCAGTTAATTGTATTTAAACATGATGATGCACACACTGATAACACATTATTGCACACTCTGATGGAGACCCTGATCAGTAGTTTGTAGAGTCTTGAAATGTTAGAACAGAAAAAGTGAATACAGTTATTTTCAGGTTTAGAGTGATGCTAGTAGTCTTGATCAACACACAGTTTGTATACTGAAAAGTATATTACTTCAATGTATTATAAAATTTAGTATTGTAAGTAAGTCAGTAAAATAAGCTAGAATGCCAGATGCCACTCATTCATACAGACAATAATGAAAAGCAAAGACCAGCATAACTTTCTACTTGTCTTCCTGTTGCTTTCCCCCTTATCAAGCCTAACAGCTGCTTTAGAAATCTGGAAAAGCAAATGAGAAACTTCTACACGCTTCTGCCTTACTTCACACCTGACAAAATATGTGGAAGCCAGTCTTCTGGGTCCTCAGTCCACAAAAGAAAAAAGTGGCAATGAGGTTTTTTGTCTTTTTTTTGTTAGCTTTCAAAATGCCACATCTGCTTGAAAGGCTTATGAATATTTTTACATAAGAAATGCAGCTAATTAGTTGTCTTGTGCTTTTTAGCGCATTGATCTTGAAATTTATAGAATAAAATTGACGTACACTGATGAAATATATCTCAATATACAAAAACAAAAGACCCTGAACATCTACGTGGCCTTCTTGAATTTGGTAAAGGAAGTTTCTTCCTTTAAACAGAAGTAGTCCAGGCCAAAGCTGAAAAAGAAAGTGATGTTTGTCTTTTCATGAAGTAATAAACTCTCATGTATGAGTTCAGGTAAAAATAAGCTCATAGTTCTATTACAGACAATTATTGTGAATATAATACACCTGTGATTATTTAACTTCCTTGATAGTACACAATTAGATTTTCCAACATTTCTGTGTTTATCCATGATGTACAAACACAGTCATGTACACACACACAATTATAAATGAAAACAGAATCTCTTTAGATTCAAGTAATTACATTATGTCGGAGTTGGGAAGCTATGTCAAGTATGTTATTCACTGTACAAACCCATTTTTTTTTCTCAGTATCCAAATGAGATAACACTTTTAGAAACAGGAAAAGTACATGACGTGAATCACCAGATTCTTTCTATAACAAATATTTCAGCAGCTATAACCAGCCCACATAACAGGAGGTTTAGATCTCACAGGCCAAATAACATCCCAGGAAACTCAGTTCTTTCTTTGAAGAAGAAAAGTCAAAATATTCAGAAAGAGAAGTCAGACTTCAGCATTTATTTAAGAACTTGAATTTTAAAATACTTATTTTGACCTACTTTTCTTGGTATATTTACTTTTCTTTATTTTTTTTCAGTAACTAATGGTAATGTTTAGTAACTTAGTGCTACTGGTTTCGGTAGTTTTCCACAGTTTGGAAAAGTCATTATGACACTAAATAAGCTTTTGCAGCTCTCTTTGCACCAGGTCTTGCTATATTTTTCCATTCTCTACAAATGAAATTGAAAAAATTTAAGTGAACATTGTAAAAAAGGGACCGAACCCCAAATGTTCCTGAATTAATCTATAGTAATTACTACATTAACTGTCAAAAAAGATATTGACTAAGAGACTATATATGTGTATATATATATATATTTTTTTTTTTACCTGATATCACTTTCCCAGACTCGACTATCATCCAAATCTTCAATAAACTTCTCCCCTTTCATCCAGTAGATTAAAGGACTGACATCTCCACTATATCCAAAGAAAGCTCGGCAGGTTAGATTAGCAGAACCCCCTGTTAAAAAGAAAGAAGGAAAATAAGTTATTTCAGAATTTACAAAAAAGATTCATATTTGAATCAGTAGCTGTTTTAAACAATGTACATCTGTAAACACCCTCAACTTCCAGTCATTGCTGGAAATGTCCAAACATATCTACTTTACTTGCAGATGGTTTTCACTGTATTTCCTGAAAATAGAGACAATAAAATTGAGTTTAAATGTTGCAGAAGAACAGGATTCAACTTTGTATGCTTTCTCAAATCTCTTAAAATTTTTGAACTTTTTTTTTTTTTTTAATATGGAAACAAATTCAGGATGCTGTATAACAGGAAGATGAGTAATTATTAAATATGTCTTATCTGAAATGATTTATGATTTTCAATGAAAGAATCTGACTCCTCTAACAGGCTTCAATTCTCATTTCCACGACACAAATGGTGCAGAATCGCATTAGAAATTGAGCTGCTTTTAATCATTTTCATAAAGCTTACCTACAGTTGATACAACAATATGTCATTTGTCAGCAATGCCTACTGAGGAGACAGGAGTATACCAGTACTTGAAAATAGGAGAAGAAAGTCTCACTCATAATCAGAAAGTTTGAACCTGCATCTCTGGTTAAGGAGACAATTTCATGTCATTCAGAGCAAAGAGAAAATAAGCTAAAGATCTTTGAAGAGAGGGCAAAAACTCTTTTAAATATATTTTCTGTGCTCCTTGGAGTAGTGCACAGGACTGTTCTTTGCAAAATCATCTTCTTACAACATCATCTCCTGAATGGTCAGTACACCTTCCTAGAAACCCATCCCCTTGATCACTATACAGGGAGAGCTCAGAAAGTGCCATCTGAAAGATGGATCTCACTGGAGAGATTTTGGCGATTCTGAAGCCATTTGCAGGGAGTGAGATGATCATTATGACACCAATTAATGAGAGTCAAGGGCATGAAAAATGGGATGTGATAAACTTCCTGACTGTTCCCAGGACATTTGAGTAGATGCAAACTTGCTTTCTCGGAGCAAATGCACAATATATATAAACTAACTGTAACACACAAATATGTGGAAATGAAAAAACAAAACCATGAGGGATTATGAATACATTGGCTACAGTCATCCAGTCTAGCATATGTTCAAGGCTGTGAAATGCCTAGTAATCACAGCTCATAGCAAGGTTCTGTGATAAATGGATAACCCCTATGCTGACACCACTGTCAGAAGGAAGAGCGCTAACTCATCACTGCCACTCCTTGGGTTTTTTCTGCAGCTTTCCTACCAAATCAGGGTATGGCTGAAAATGTTTGGCTCTTAGGAGCTGGTAAGATGACAGCTGTTGGAACTGTGGCTTCTGGACAATTTATCCAGCATTCACAGAGATTAGGCACCATGGGTTCTGAACCATCAAATCTCTCTGGGCTCTTGCAGCTAATAGGCACCCACTAAGCTGCTTTATACACTGTGGAGGCCTCTAAGACTAACAGGCAAATACTAACATACATATGTTGCATTTTTTTTTTTTCTTTCTCTTAAAAAGCGTATATATATATTGAGGGGAGAAATGTAAAAAAACAAAACAAAACAAAACAAAACAACAAAACAATAAAAACAACAAAACAACCTCTGTAAGATAATAGACTTCCTTAAATTCTTAAAGAACGTTTCCCCCTAAATAAAATATTTGAACACCTTTTTAAACACAAAATCCAAAGTTTCCTTTCAACATGAAATATTTCACCTGAGAAATAGATTGGGAAGGATGTACTGCCTCTTAATAGCACTGTGTAAATTACAGTTGCTGAGCAAAGGCCATTAACGTGCCAGGTGTTCAGCTATAAATTACCTATACAGTCTACCTTGACCAATCTTCACACAAAGCCAGTGGGAAGTTCATTAGTAGGTCATCAAGAAAGATTCAGTGATCATCTAATGACCAGCTGTGACCATTAATGAGGAGGTCTGTACTCTTGAGCTTACAGCTCTTAGCAGAAGGCAGTGGAGCTTACTTGCTGGAGCAGAGATGCTTACAGCTGTAGGTGCATGTATGTAATAGATAAAGATTTCCTGAAGAGCAATATTATATACAGATCTTGATCCCTACTCCAGGGCTATTCCCACATGAGTGCGAGTATGCTAAGGCTTCATTTCTCAGTAGAAGCACACCTTTGAAGTGAACAGTCAGAAGAAAAACAGTTTAGAATGTAGTTTGGCTGTTCTATATGGGCAGTCTGTTTATGAGAAGTCTGCAGATTTTTAGAAAGTGGTTAAAATTAAAGTAAATAAATACAATAGCTACTTTGTTTTGTGTTTAAGCTAGTGTACAAAACTACCTGTCAGCCGTTTTGTAGGTATCATTTACAATTTACACCAAGCAACTATTTTCCTCTGTGTTTTCCATGCTGAAAAAATCATAGGAATGTGCTGAGAACTGTAAATGCTCATTGAGTGGGTATGACTAAGTGGGTATTGAGTGGGTATGCTTTTTATGCCATTAATTTAAATTTTCCTGTAAATGCTGGATTGTTACAGTTTTATAGTTCACCTCTGAAGGGATTTAAATGCAAGTTTTAAATGAACTACTGGGGAAATCCATATCTATCATCTTTGTGGTGAGATGCTGTAAAATCTTAAGAATGTTCTGCTTAATCTGGATCTTTGTTAAGTTTGTTATTATTATTTATTTAATTTTAACAGACTGAAGTCAAGAGTCATGAGATTGGAGTTGTTAGATGAAACTTAAATTCATTCATTTATTAAAACAGTCAAGAAAGGATAAATAGGAAAAGACACTTCGGAGCTTTTCAGCATAGCTCCATTGCTTTGACCTTGAAAGAGAACCATAAAGACATGTGAAATGACACCTAAAAAGTGAGCTTCAATTAAGTATTTCTCCATCATCCTTATTTCTGACAATTTGAGTTGATTTTTGTAAAAACTGGAATAAACATCGCTAAATATTACTGCTGTTTCTTGTGATAAATTTGCACTGTCAACTCTAGCTTGATGAGTTCAAACTAAATTAACCCAAAGGTCTTTGCTACTTTAACTAGAAATAGTTTTTGTTGCACAGTCTCCTTTTGAGTAGACTGAAGTGTGAGGAAGTACAACATGTACTTTCTTGCAGCAAACAAATGCAGACAGCAGATTAACATGCTGGTTTGTGCCCATTTTTGCTAATAGGCAACATCTGGGACACTTTGTAAACTTCTGCTTTGGGAACCTTTGTCCAGGAGAGGGCACTGCCTAACTTCTAAACTTTTTTTTTTTTTTTTAATCAAATTCTTATTGTATAAGCTCTAATTAAAAACACTGGCTTGCTAAGAACCTGCTAGTTGTAATTAGCAAAAAGAGAATATTTTGTGGTTGGTGAAATGTCATCTTGTATGGGCAGTTTGAATTGCTCTCTTACTCATCGAGTTATCATATACTGTGATGACGCCAGTTCCAACTTCAGATTCAACAGATTCTTCATGGGAAATGCAACGATTTTGTGAGAAGCAGTGATAATTATCAGACACCTTCCTCAACCTCTTTCTAAATGAATTCTTAAAGATGTGTTAAAGGAGTGAATTCAGAGCCATGAACAACATCTAGAAATGCTGAGGGCTGAGAGAGTGGAAATGTTGTGTGTTTAAATATGGGACTTCTTTTTATTGTACATTGTAAAGCAATTATAGCACTTATGCATAGGCGATACCTACACACTTACAAGCATGCCATGTATTTGTAATATTGACTCTTCAAAATGAAATTGTAAATGGCCAAGGCAGATGGAATCAAAGTCTCTCACACACAAATAAGATTCTTTTCATTCATTTCAGAGGAAAAAGTACTGATTAAGTATCTTCAGCCTTCCAGGTGGAGGGATGCAAAAATTACTAAATTCCTAGGTCTGATGGAGAAGCGAATACTTCTAACAAAGTCAATGACCCACTTAGATTGCCAGTGTTATCTGCCAAGCCCAGCAGGCAGGTAGGTAGGTAGAACATGTTTGTGTTTTCAAGGAAGTTTCACATCCTAAGGCAGTTTCTCAAAGCCTTGTTATAAACATGACTAAAAAGGAAATAGAAGAAAAATAAGTGTACATACAGCTTTCAACCATGATACTTGATCATGTGGGACCTGTAAATCTTCCCTTAGAGCAGGGTGATCTGCAGGGATTCCTCTAGAGTCCTTCCTTGCCTACACAAATCATCACTTGCTGCTATGCTGCCCACTGGTTCACATGACTATTTTTGTATCTTGATAACTTGTACCCTTTTACCAGATTGTAACTGTCTTATTATATCTTTCACATAGTGGGTTAGGCCAAGTTTTAAAATAAAATAAAATATTGTTTTCTGAAATATAACTGCAAACTGGGAACTAATAAATTCTAATCTTCTCACTGAGTGGTATGTTGTGACGTCTTTGGCAAGTCATCATGTCTTACATCTATACAATTGCAAAGACACAACGTGCAATTTTCCTCTACTTAGAATTCAGTGGATGTAGATTTGGAAAAGGCTGGGTATTATCATTGCACTAAATACTATCATACAAGTGTGATACAAACTGGCTGAATGTGATTACAGAGCTATATCTCTTCATTAATAGACTTGTCTCTATTCTGCTATGCCACTAAGCAGAAAGTTGATTGCGTGAGACTTACATATTGAATGAGTTCCTCAGGCCACAAATGTGTAAATTCGGAGTACACACAACCAGTCCTCCAAAATAAAATAAAAAATAAAAAGTCTGAAGGTTTGCAGCAAGATCAGAGAGAGACTGTAGCTTTTGAACCTTTTCTGAATTTGTAGATATCACTACTTATTAAAAATTACTTCTAGAATTTCTGATTTTTAGCTTTTTAAAAAAGTTTTTGTCTTGCTCATTAGAGGTTTTTCTGTTTGTTTGTTTGCTTGGTTGTTTTTTTTTACATAGAAACTAGCTCTCATTCAGCAATAGGGCCAGACTAATTTGCCCATGTGCAGTCATTCACTGTCACATGAAAAGCCTTGTACTGCACAGGGCTTCCA